TGAAAATTTTGAATTTTAAAATATTTGACAACTGTATAAATTGAACTGTATATATTGAAAATTGCGTGTTTGCTTGTTTCAGGCACATGTGGTCTCAGCTTTTGAGCAATCACTGTCCAATATGACTCAGAGATTGCAGCAACTCACAGCTACAGCCGAAAAAAAGGTAAAAACACTATAAAAATTAATTATTTATCATTCACACGTTCGATATTCGATGCAGATGTACAATATGTTTTTGTTACAAAAAAATTTTTTTTATCGGCGATTCTTCAGGATTCTGAGCTTCAGGAACTGCGAGAAACGATCGAGAGACTGCGCAAGCAGAGTGCCGAAGCTGGATTGAACAACGGTCCAACTGCGAACAGTGGTCGACGTCATACTTTAGGTGACTCTGAATCCGGTACCACCGGCTGCACCGGCAATAGTAGTAGTAGCAATAATCATCAGGGTGCATCAATGGCAAGACAACTATCCGCCGATAGCGTGACGTCTCTGAATTCGTTAAGCAGCGCCTGCTCGGCCAGCAGCAATCATCACAAAAAGAAGGGCTGGCTACGCAGCTCCTTCTCCAAGGCTTTCTCGAGGTCGCGCAAAAACCGGCATGGTTCGGTTTCTGACGCGGAGGACTGCAAGGAGAGCCCTGGCGGTGATCTGAGCGCTCCCAACAGTCCTAGACTGCCAACCGCATCCAAACATGAGTCTTCGAGAGCACAAACCGTGAGAAGCAACGGTCAGAAATCTCCCGATCATGAGAATCCTTTGTCTGGAAGCAAGAGCAGCTCGGCATTGTACAAGAAAGAGGATGAAGATGTGGATGAATTGAAGAAACAATTGAGGGAGAAGGATTTAGTGCTTACAGATATCAGATTGGAAGCATTATCTTCGGCTCATCAGCTGGAGTCTTTAAAAGACACGGTCATCAAGATGAGGGTGAGTTTTTATTTAAAAAAGAAATTCATACATTTTTACATCTCTGAAAAAATGATTTATTTATATGAATTTATCATTTTCCTTTACAGTACGAGATGTTAAACTTGAAGCAGAACAATGAGCGACTCCAACGACTAGTGACCTCAAAGTCGCTCACTTCTTCGCAGTCCTCTCTACCCAGTGACCCAGATCGACGTTTCAGCATGACTGAGGTGGCATCGAGTGTCGCAGCATTGTCGAACGGCGACGTCAGTTCCACGGCCGATCAACTGGAAGATCTTAACGTCCCGGTGGAACACTCCGTCGTGTCATCGAGCGCAACAACTGCAGAACCAGTTCTTGAGCAAGACACTGATGGCAAGAGAATCAATGTGGCCGTTTATCTCGGCAGTGAGCGAAATTTTAACTATAATTTGATTACCGGAAGCTGCGCCGACGGCACCATAGGCGAACCACCACATTGCGTAATTGCCAATGTGTGCATCAGCAATAAAACCAGCTGGGACGCGCTGGATTCTATGGTGAGACGTTGTTTCAAGGAGTACGTTTCTCGAGTGGATCCTGTGACGAATCTAGGTCTTGGCGTCGAATGTGTCGCCGCGTATCATCTCGGCGAAGCTTCCAGGTGCGTGTTTAATTAAGAAATACTAAAATAATATAAATTCAAAGGTATCTCTACTTACTTATACAACTTTATATATATGCAATACATTTTAAATTCTATAGGTGCGCTTCTTATTAAGATTTGTCTATTTTTTATTGCCATCTAAAATAATTAAAATTTTGCTCTCTACTTTACAGATGCACTACCGATTCTCAGCATCCTGAGTTATTACCCTGCGGCTATCTAGTCGGCCACGTGAAAACTATTTATTTAGTGCTGTCAGGCTATTCCTGGCTGGCAGTGGATACCTTGATACCGCGTTCTATCGTTCAGCGACTGATCTCTCTTTTGACGGAACATCGTAGAGTGATTTTGTGCGGTCCAAGTGGTACAGGGAAGAGTTACTTAGCTGGAAAATTGGCGCATGCTCTAGTAGATACTGACAATGACACGAAGGATGCTGCTGCTGTTGCGACTTTCAATGTCGATCATAAGTCCAGCAAGGAATTGCGCCAGTATCTCGCGCACATCGCTGAAAGATGCGATTCGAACGCCGCTGATGAATTACCTAGAGTGATTATTTTGGAAAATCTTCAACACGCAGCATCTCTGGGCGAACTCTTCAGCGGACTCTTAGGAACTAGACATTCATCATGTCCTGCTATCATCGGTACCATGAGTCAGACCACTTGCAGTACCACCAACTTGCAGTTGCATCATAATTTCAGGTACTTTCATTTTTTTGTGAACACATTTAATCTATAATTTTAATGCAATGTACTTACATATAATGTAAAATTATTTTAGAAATTTTTTAATGTAATTAAAAAGTCTTGAAGAAAAATTGTCAATAAAAAAATAAATATTAAAAATTAATTTTAGAATTAAAAGTTTAAATATATTACAATATAACTTGTTATATATTATATCTTACAAAGTAAGATTATATATATAATATATATTTAATCTTTTTAATTATTAACGATAGAAGGAGATGAAAGATCGATCTCTCGATCTTAATGAATTAGATTTTAATTATGTAATTAAACAGGTGGGTATTATGTGCAAATCATATGGAGCCGGTCAAGGGATTTCTAGGACGTTATTTGAGAAGGAAATTACTGGAGCACGAATTACGCGAATGCGCTGGGACAAGGAACGCGGAGATGGCGGCAGTAGTCGAGTGGCTGCCGCGTGTATGGCTGCATCTTAACAAGTTCCTAGAAACCCATAGCAGCTCTGACGTCACCATCGGTAACTAGAAATATTTAAAATATGTTTCCACATTTCAGAAGATATTCTGCAGAAGAATTTCTGCGAGTCCATAAATCTAATTTTAAATAAGAACCACTAACCAAAATTCTCACCAATTTTGCTATTTTTTCTACTAGTATCAATGCAAAATAATAGAATCAATGATTTTCAATTGCAAAATTTTACTTATGAACCTGTGATAAAATTATATTGTTTCGCTATTAATTTTCCTGTCATTTTTTTTTATATAATTATAAATATATAATTATAAATAAATAATAATAATATTAATAATTAATCAGGACCGCGGCTGTTTTTATCATGTCCAATGGAAGTGGCTGGATCTCAAGTGTGGTTTACCGATCTGTGGAACTATTCGGTAATACCTTATTTAGTGGAAGCAGTCAGGGAAGGATTGACGCTATACGGAAGGCGCGTAAGCGGGAACGGAAATGGCGAATCGACATGGGAAGATCCGGCGCAATTCATCACATCGAGCTATCCATGGCTTTCGACGCATGCCGTGCACGGCGGCAGCGATGCTCTTCTACGTCTGAGACCTGAAGACGTGGGATACGATGTCGTCTCTAGCGGGCACACTTCCGGTGTAGGCGCCTCCAGCGTGAAGAGCCTTGGAAGTACTCATAGTGATACCGAAGGAGATCCTCTGGTTAGTATTGAGATTCAGAAATTTTAAAACATACATATTTACAATTAATATGTAAATTTCATCTTCTTTCTTTTTGTTATAATTGCTATATTTATTTAGAAAAATATAATTTCCTATGATGCAAAAAAAATATATAATTTATTTATTTAAAAATTATTATTATATTCAACAGTTTATTTAGCTGAATTTTTTAAATGATGAATATCGCGTTCTGCGCAATATATATATATATATGTGTGTGTGTGTGTGTGTGTGTGTGTGTGTGTCGCGCAGAACGCGATATTCATTATTTTAAAAATTCAGCTAAATAAACTGTTGAATATAATAATAATAATTTTTAAATAAATAAATTATATATTTTTCTTGCATCATAGGAAATTATATTTTTCTAAATAAATATAGCAATTATAACAAAAAGAAAGAAGATGAAATTTACATATTAATTGTAAATATGTA